TTACAATATAGTTTGATGTTAAATACAAAGTATATTAGGTATAAAGAAAGTTATGATGGTTTTACTGTCAATATACTGATAATGTTCTTTAGATTACCTGTATTCACATTCTCTTCTGTTTTTTTACTACACCTGATATCAGCAGTATTTTTCTCATTGTACACTGTCTGGTATTATCATCTTCATTGGCTCAGTTACATAAATATGACATATCACTATTTCAATTCATAAATATTCAGCTCATTAGGTATATAACAGAATGATATAAGCTCCATATCAATTACTGAATTTTTGATATACATGCAGTAGTTCTGCAGCAGAACACACCTAGGTATCAACTGCCTTTTTGGCCTCTACCATCAGAAAGCTTCTTCACAACAGTGAGATCAGTGGTGGCTGCAGAACTTTGTGTTGCGGGGGAGACAGGAAATATCAGAAAACATAAAATTGTAATTTAAAATTTGAATTAGGTATTTTGAAGCTCAGACGAATTTTAAATTGCTTTTTTTTTAAGATTTAAATTTCAAATTAGTAAACCTTTTAAACCTGAGTGTAAATGAAATAAAACATCATATACCTTGAACTCCAAGTACTATAACATATTAAAACCATATTGAATCTAAGTTAATAAGTTTGTATTGAACATATTTCAATTAAAACAACCAAAAGAAAGGAGGCAAAACCTTCCAGACAAAAATAAATAAAAACCCTGCAGACGCAAACAAATATAAATAGATTTGATTAGAATAATAAAGTTGGGGGTATAATTAATGAGATATAGGACTGATGTGATCAGCTAGAATAATATATTATGTACAGTTAGTATTTAATGATAGATGATGATGAACATATGATATGATTTAATATCACATAATATCACGTCTGATAGTAGTGTGGTGGCGTGTTCTTAATAAACACCAGACACACACAGAATTCCTCTCATCTGATATAATAATTTGGAAGTTGTTGAACCTAAAGATGTACTGTGTACAATAGTTTTTATATTTGGCAGATCTTTATATTCATTAATAGGCATCTGTACAATATGTTCACTTTCTGATTACCTTAAAAATGTAATTCCATTAAAAATTTGGCTGCTTTAGACACAAAAACAGGATTTCTGCATAAAAGCACCAACATAGTTGACATTAGCTTAGTTTATCAAAGTCTATGTACCAAAGCAGTCTATTTAAACATTGTGGCAAGAATATCTATAGTGAACCTATTTGCATGTCATAATTTTGATCATTTCAGTTGAGAACATAGGATTCCTTGCTTAAAAGTTTGTTCCAAACATCAATGAATACAGTACTTTAAGCAATATTAATTCAAACCCCAGAAGAATTTGGTTTACTATTAAAAAGAATTCTCCTGGAGAGTATATAAATGGGCTGTCGAAAAATTGTTTAATTCCATGCTACCTTTAATTGCCCTTCTGGTTAAACTGTACAAAACAACACCAGCAACTTTCATTGAACAGAAAACTAAAAGCTAAGATCATATGAATCCCTTTTACCAGCTGATCTTTGGCCACACCTCTTGGCATTGATCTTTTCCAAATTATCCCTGTCCAAATTAGAGATGGGTCAACTGGATTTGTGTGGATAGATGACACAATCGAAGTCATCCAGACATTTATACGTCAACAGAGATTAGAACTTACAATCTTTCCAACCCTCAAACCTAACTGTTATACAGCCAATTCTTAACAGAACATTTAGCTGAAATAACCTCTGAATCTCTATCAAACTCTTCTGAATTTTTGTGAGACTGGGGGTACAAATAAGATGTAGACTGACTTAATGGGGGGACTGTTCACTGTCAAGGTTAAATTTGAAATGGTCTTGTACCCCCCACTGCCACTGCCACTGACTGAATGTAAGCAATTTTTCTAGAATAATCTACATGTAAAGATAGAAAATATTTAACAGACTGTTGTTGGAGCCATTATGTTTTGAGTAGACAAGATGAAGATCATCAAGATGAATACAACCATGATTTAGCTGACATATTGTAGACTTCTCCCGTCAGTTTCATCACCTATACAGTATTTAGAAACGTGGCAAAAACTAGTAATGATAATATTGACTAAGAGTTGAATGACTAGGTTAGTATTTGTCTTGTCAGTAATTACCTGTGAAAAATGTTTATAGTATTCTCTCTTTAACCTCTCCTTCTCAGACGACCATTAGAGTCAAACTATAAACATGACATCTTTCAATAGTTGAAATCATCTAATTACTTCCATACTTCATCAACAGATAGTAGGCCTTACAATTTTTCAACACAGATCACAAGTGCCAAAATTTTTTTGTACTGAAATTTTGTCATTAAGTGATTACTTCATAGATATTCAAAGGATGATAATCAAGAAATTTGGAAATCAAAAATACTTTTGATTGACGATCATTGTCAAATTTGGTCATTGTTTTAGATTTTAATAGAATATTTAAAATTGAAAGGCTGAAAATTCAACCAAATAAACTAAAGTCAAGATCAGACATTCAACATTAGGCATTCAATATCAGGCATTCAATATCAGGATTCAACACAAGGCATTCACCATCAGGCATCTAATATCAGACATTCAACAAAATCAGGCATCTAATATCAGACATTCAACATCAGGCATCTAATATCAGACATTCAACATCAGGCATCTAATATCAAACATTCTACAAAAGGCATCTGATATCAGACATTCAACATCAGGCATCTAATATCAGACATTCAATATCAGGATTCAACACAAGGCATTCACCATCAGGCATCTAATATCAGACATTCAACAAAATCAGGCATCTAATATCAGACATTCAACATCAGGCATCTAATATCAGACATTCAACATCAGGCATCTAATATCAGACATTCAACATCAGGCATCTAATATCAAACATTCTACATAAGGCATCTGATATCAGACATTCAATATCAGACATCTGATATCAGACATTCAATATCAGACATTTGAAATCAGGCAATCATCATCAGACATTCAACATGATTCAAGAGGCATTCATTACTAATTTTGTTCTTCAGTGGAAATGAATATGTCTTATAAAATAAGAAGCCCAGTTTGTCAGGCTGAATGTCAATTTGTGTTAATAGTACATGATGTAGAAACCAGACATTGTCTACATGATAACTATTAAAGGTGGTATGTTCAAACTGGATTGAATCCAGGCCAGTACTTAGTACTATCTTGTTAATCTTTCACATAGTTTTTATCTCCTAGTTACCATCTTCTGTTGGTATCAGTTGTTATCCTTCTTTCTGAACTCTCCAGTCTTCCACTTACCATGTCCGAAACATTTATTTTTTTACCTGCCAAAATATTTTCTCAGGTGTTAGCATTGAAAATTAGTAGCTGATTTATTAGTAGAATTTATACTGATGTTGAATTTTAGAGAATTTCAACATGCTTGTAAATTTTAAGCACTTTAAGACAGCATACACCTTAAATATAAAAACCAAACAACTGTCTTTTTTAATATACTTTCTTTTAGTATAATTAGATGACATTAAAAGGATTGTAAAGAGTTTTTTTTCAAATTCTATATGTGTATCAGGCACACTGATACATTCCAATTTTCAATCAGACGTCTGTGGTAAAGATAGGTGTTTGATGATGTCACAAATCGCAAAATATGCTTTATCATATAAGGCCCTTTGCGATTATTCCTTTAATGTATAGTTTATCTTCAACACAAAATACTTTGTTTCTTCTCAATAAAACAGACATAGTTGTCATTTGTTTCTAGCAGAAAACTCTCTAATTCGCACCCTTGTTCTTTGTAAGTACGTTTTTAAAGTTCAACAAGATACAATGGTGTAGATCTACATACAAAATAGTTAGTAAGAAACTAAAAGTTAGGCTATTTAACCTCTAATATTTAAATAATAACTTGTAACATGGGGATTATTTAAATACTTTTACCCCAATCTAGATGGTCAAAACATTTTTAACCTTTTAACAGTCAACAAAACAAGTTTAAATACCAACTTAGACACCCTCACAAATATATTTTACAATATGTACTAATACATTAAGAAATATGTAAATTGACCCTTTAAAACTTCAGCTAAACATTTCCTTTGAGGATGTCTTATGCTGGGGGCACACAAACAGTTTTTGACGCATAATAGAGTCTTGTCAAGAGTTTCTGCTACCCACTGTGTGCAAAAGAAATGAAAGAAAATCTCTGTCGATCATTTTCAGCTTTGTTCATGTGATGATAATGTGATGATCATGTGATTTAAATAAAAATGAATCTAATTGAATGATGATGTTCTCTGGAGTCTTGTCTTGTCGTGAGTGCAGGTACATGAAGAAAAAAATTGCCGACATGAAATAATCAGTGACAAATATCAAATTGGTTTGATGTTCAAAATCTTGTGGGCAGAGCAATAATCTTTTCAAATTGGTGCACGCAGAGATTTGATTCAGCTGCAAAACATTCTTGTGTGGCCCCAGCATTAAGAGTCTAATAATAAAAAAAAAATTCAAGAATTGTTTTTCAGTTCTTAGCTGGTCTACCATTTATAGATTTCAGCAGTAGGTAATTAGTATATTACTAATATTCCTACTAATAATGAACAGTAGACATGATTGTGTGGAATGTGACTAACGAAGGTATATATTTAACAGTAATAAAAGTAGAAGAAATGTATCTAGTCAATAAATGTCAGTATAAATACACAGTAGGAATTTACCATGTTTCTATAATAATCATGTTGTTTATTTATATAATAAACATACATAATATTATATATAACTATATAGATATGATTATATTACCTACAGAATATATATTATCAATATACATATACAGACCTGAACATTCAATGCTCTAGGGCCTTTTTGGCAGAAATTTCTATAAAAATTATATAAAACTATATCAAATACTATCTTTTTAGAAATACTACTTCTTTATTCTTTCTCTGTCTTGTCAGAGCTCCACAATTCTTGAAAAGATCAGCTGAGCAGCTACGTCTAGTCAGAGCTCCACAGTGCCTGGTAAAGCACAATGTTTGGTAGAACAGCCCTGTTCTGTAGGAGCTCTATAATGTATGGTAGAACAGCTCTGTTCTGTTGGAGCGATATAATGTTTGGTAGAACAGCTTTGTTCTGTTTGAGCTCTATAATGTTTGGTAGAACAGCTCTGTTCTGTTGAGGCTCTATAATGTTTGGTAGAACAGCTCTGTTCTGTTGGAACTCTATAATGTTTGGTAGAACAGCTCTGTTCTGTTGGAACTCTATGTTTGGTAGAACAGCTCTGCTCTGTTGGAGCTCTATAATGTTTGGTAGAACAGCTCTGTTCTGTTGGAGCTCTACAATGTTTTGTAGAGCAGCTCTTTCCTGTTAAATCTCGAAAATGTCTGGTATGGGAGCTCTGCCCTGTTGTAACTCCACAATGTTTATCAATGCATCTCTGCCTTATTGGAGCTAAAAACTTTCTGGTAGAGCAGCTCTGTCTTTTACTTGGAGCTTCAAAATTTCTGATCAAGCAGCTCTGTTCTACTAGAGCTTCAAAATATCTGGTAGAACATATGGGAGTTTTTATCATTGTTTTGTTTCGAATGATACACAGAGCTCTTATGGTAACTTTTAACTCTCTGAAAGCAGTTTTACATTGTAGTGATAAAAGCTTCACAATATCTGATATGATCACTATATTTACATGTTTGTTCTCTGTAGGATCCTAGGATTGTCTGGCAGGAGTCTCCTATTGTCTGGTAGAAGTTTATATTGTCTGTATGGTAGGATCTTTACATTGCCATGTAAGATCTTCACATTGTCTGGCAGGATTATAACATTCTATGAAAAATTCCCAATGGTACAGTAAGATTTTTATCATGTCTGCTAGGAGCTGCTAGGAGCTTCACAAAGTCTGCTGAATAAGAAAATTGGACAAATCAGGGCACAAAAAAGCAAATTAAAATACACTCTGTCAATGCATTAGTATTAGTAGTTTTTATTTGACATAAGACATAATACATATGAATGTGATAGGTATAATGTATTTCCCAGTACATTACAGTACATTAAGGTGGAACAAAGTGTTTTTTCTTTTTTATTCAGAACACTTGATGCCCATCATCTGTTGAATTTCTCAATTTAAATCGACTTTCAGAGATTCATCAGAGAATAGTTTCTACTTAATTTAGCTCTTTGTGGCATTAAATAACCATCAAATTTTAGATCTACATAAGAATTTATGTTTCTCACTTTGAAACCTCTCCAAGTTCCAATTCTATTTTCATTGTAAAGTGATTTCAAGTACAAATACACATTAACTAACACTTATTTTGACTCTTTTTTAAAAGATCCATTGTGCTGTACATCTTTTAAAGAACATAAATTATTGTTAGACAAAAAATAAGTGATTTATCACTTTTGATAGTTAAAAACTAACTAATTTCTGTACAATCTGTAAGATAGCTCAATTACAATTTGATACATGAGGTTACATTAACCTTATCAAGTAGCATATCAGTATTTTCACTCCATCTTTCTGTAATGTGGGTACGGAAAGTCTTTTAAAGATTATTGCCAAAAAGGACCCTTGATTCAAAGTCAATAATGTATCTTAAATTTTATTTTATTGAATCAATGAATGCTGTTCCAAAACACTTGAGTCAAAGCAATTAAAATGAAATTCAGTTCCTAAACAATTGAAGCAAACCAATGGAAATGAAATGCTGTTCCTAAACAATTGAGTCAAAGCAATGGAAATGAAATGCTGTTCCTAAACAATTGAGTCAAAGCAATGAAAATGGAAAATGCTGTTCCTAAACAATTGAGTCAAAGCAATGGAAAGGAAATGCTGTTCTTAAACAATTGAGTCAAAGCAATGAAAATGAAATTCAGTTCCTAAACAATTGAAGCAAACCAATGGAAATGCTGTTCCTTAACACTTGAGTTAAAGCGATGAAATGGAAAATACTGTTCATGAAAACTTGACAACATTTAAAATACCCATGGATGAAAGATAATATGCTGTTACAAAAAAATTCAAACTTCTTGTAATTCTTCATCTTTGGTAAATTTAAATTGTACAAATTTCAAATGTTTGTGCAAACAAGTGTTTAAATGTAATGGATTTTTTTGTACTTGCTGCAGTAGTTTTTAAAGGTTTATCACAATTTGCAGATGATTGACAGATAATTCAACTTGAAAAAATTAAGAAATAGATTCCTACATAGAAAACTTTTTGAGTTGAAGACAAAATTCTACGATATCTTATAATTTTTTCTGAAATAATATTTTGGTAGACAGAAAATTTGATATGAAACGTGAAAGATATAGGGGAAGATTGTCTATAATTATTTGTCTTGAACTGAGATATTTATATTTAAAACACAATGCCCTGTTATTGAGACTGAAAAAACAGAACTGACCGATTCCATATCGATTCCATCATGAAACAATATTATCAGGAATAATAACATTCACTGATTGTTCTCTTGATAAAATTCAAATTTGAATACTCTGTTAGGATTAGATATGTCATATTATAACGTATCAAACCTTCAATAATAGACACGAAATTATACAGTCTGAAACTTGCTGAACTTTATACAGTCACTGATAGTTATCCTTCTACAGATTTTGCTGTTACAGAAAATCTAATTAAACCCAGTGGATTTCCAAGACTGCACTAAACTACTTCTTTACTTATTATTTCTGTTGTTTTTTTTGTTCCTGACAACAATAGCTACTGGAAACTACATAAGATTCAGCAAGTTTTCTGGACTATTTTACATAGCCTTGGTCTATATTTCAGAGCACAGTTAGCATTAATATAGCTCGCTATTTGTCTTGTAAAAGTGTCTCTGATGGATTATTTTGGGGTGGGTTTTAAATGCATTATGCGTTGAATCAGACTATCTTAGTGCAGGAAAATAAATAGTTATTTGTTTTGTTTCTTTTTTAAAAATATGATTCCATAAATTTACCATAAATTCCGCCAAATTGAAAATCTGTGATTCTTAAAACAAATAATAACAATTTTAGCACAAATTTTTATTATCATTCCAGGCAGTGGGGTTGATAAGGTGGTTGGGATTTAAAACCCACCCAATTATGTGCCTGTTTTGTTCTTAAGATTCAATGATAACTAAGTAACAAACAACAAAATTAGTTTCAATTAAAATCTATTTCAATAAGAATGTTTACATTTTAACTTAGAGTCAAGAGTCTAATAAGTTTGGCAAGATTATCTGATATAGACTATAGTTTTCAATTATTCTTTTCTTCAAATCATGTTACTACCTAATTACTTACCAAATATCTATACCATTAGGCTTTTTACTAGAATTACAGGAAATGCCAATCCTTATTCTTCACTTTTGCAGCTTGTTAACGACTTTGTAAAAGTCCCCCACCCCAAAAAATGGCTTTTTTAAGTATCAAGCAAGTTCCTTTCTTATAAGGATTTGTGATGTCATCAAATTTATCAAATCATGTCAATCGGTTTGGATCTGATAATTACATCTAGCATCAGATTTTGAATCTTAAAAGGGACACAGGTGGCTTTAGTTTATTCACAAGGTAAAGTGAATGATTACACCATTGTATCCTTGGTAAAGGTTTTTGTCAGCTATTTGTCTCATATTTCTTTTTACTCCAAATAAAAGTAAAAAGTTGAATTTGATCCCAACCTTATAAACCTCAGGTGATTTTTTTTTCCTGCAATGTGATAAAACAATAGGAATCAGCCTAGATTATTTCATAAGCTTTTTTCAGACACTGCTGGCAAATAATAAAGTCATATCAATATCACTGATAGTCAATATAAAACAATTTAAGATTATCTTACCTCATGAAGATATCTTGAATTTCAGCCTATCTTTTTTAATAATCCTTTGTTATTCAGATATCCTAATATTCAGATAATCCTTATATCCTTCTAAAGTACATAATTCATTTCAAATTTTCATAAAACACTTATGTCATTAGTAATAATCACATTAAAAATAAAAGTTTCCCAACTAATATAATTTCCAAACTAATCAATGAATTTCCAGTCAATTAAAAAAACATGTTTCCAAACTAACACAGAACTATCATAAAACTGTCCTATCAGCATAAAGATGATAGTTCAATAATATCCAATTAATATAAAATAAATAGTTCTATGTCAATATATAACATGTATAACTCAGTGTAGTATAAGTTATAATATATAAATGAAAGGATAAAAGGTGTGATGGTTTTACATGATTAGTAGGGTTAGTCCATTATACTTCCTTACATTACGGTTCACTAATAGTATTTTACACTATGTAGTACCAGACCACCTTCTTACCTAATATCCTATTAACTACCATTTCTACTCAATATCAGAATCCATTCGTACAAATCAATTACCTACCACCTGGATATTATGATAAATTCCAATCTGATTTCAATACTCTTAGATTAAATAACAGAACAATTCTCTTGATTTAATACTTCATCAGTGTTGATAGATGGGAAGTAGAATTTACTTGCTTTTTTTTTTTTTTTTGATAATTGCAATTATGAGCTAATTGTCAATTGTCAGCTAATTTGCTAGAGGAACTTGTCTTTTTCTCATTTAATCTTATTCTCATTGCTGGATAAACTAATCTTATTCTCAATGCTGGAGGAACTAATCTTATTCTCATTGCTAGAAGAACTACTCTTATTCTCATTGCTGGAGGAACTAATCTTAATCTTATTCTCATTGCTGGAGATACTATATTCTAATTGCTGGTGGAACTAATCTTATTCTCATTGCTGGAGGAACTATATTCTCATTACAGGATGAATTAATCTTATTCTCATTGCTGGAGGAACTATATTGTCATTGCAGGATGAATTAATCTTATTCTCATTGCTGGAGGAACTATATTCTCATTGCTGGTGGAACTAATCTTATTCTCATTGCTGGAGAAACTATATTCTCATTACAGGATGAATTAATCTTATTCTCATTGCTGGAGGAACTATATTCTCATTGCTGGTGGAACTAATCTTATTCACATTGCTGGAGGAACTATATTCTCATTACAGGATGAATTAATCTTATTCTCATTGCTGGAGGAACTAATCCTATTCTCATGGCTTGAGGAACAAATCTTATTCTCATTGCTTGAGGAAGTATATTCTCATCCATGAAGGAACTATTTTCCCATTGTTGGAGGAACCAATTCAATTCTCATTGCTGGAAGAACTATATTATCATTGGTAGAAGGACTATATTCTCATTGGTGTAGGAACTATGTTCTCATTGCCAGAGGAACTAATCTTATTCTCATTGCTGGAGGAACCTTATTCTCATTGCTGGAGGAATTATATTCCCATTACTGTAGGAACTAATCTTATTCTCATTGGTGGAAGAACTATATTCTCATTGGTGGAGGAATTAATCTTATTCTTATTGCTGGAGGAACTAATCTTATTCTCATTGCTGAAGGAACTAATCTTAATCTTATTCTTATTGCTGGAGGAACTATATTCTCATTACAGGATGAATTAATCTTATTCTCATTGCTGGAGGAACTAATCTTAATCTTATTCTTATTGCTAGAAGAACTAATCTTATTCTCATTGCTGGAGGAACTAATCTTTATCTTATTCTCATTGCTGGAGAAACTAATGTAA